AACTATTGAGAAAGTTTAACAGCATACATCCGTCAGGATAGTATGCTCAATTTCCTTGGTGTTATATTAAGCAGACGAGGAGATGGATCACTTCACAGAAGCGTGTACACAAGAAACAAATTTACATTTCAATACAAACACTTCCTTAGTTTCACTCCTATACGATGAAAAATAAATTTAGTGAAATGCTTGACAGCCAGGGAAAGGAAAATCTGCTCAGATGATACTCTACAGAGTGAGTTAGAGTGGATTTCGAATTCATTAAGGGAAATAGGTTATCCTCACAATTTTACAAAAAAGAATATGAATTGACTGGTTAAAAAACGTGAAGCAGCAACCTCTAGAAAAAAACCACTATTCATAAAAGTACAATTTAATGGGGATATACTTTGTGAAATGCTATTACACAGGCTGTCGATAACCACTAAAAGAACTATTTATGCAACGAAACTCTGTCTATCATTTTTCAATCGAGGATTTGTTTCGTGTCAAGCGAAGGATAAGTGACCTAGTTTCGCCATTTCTATGTGTATTTACCAGTTTATTTGCTCTTGTGGAGACAGTTATATCGGGTGTACGACTAGGCAACTTAACCAGCGTATTGCTGAACACCTACCTTCGTGGCTGGGTAAAGGACAGGTTAAATCTATAAGAAGTTCTGTTTTGTTGCATCTATTGATAGTGATCACAGAGTAGATAAGACGCAAGCGTTCAAAGTGGCTTAGTGCATACCACCGAACCTTTCTGATGGAGTTCGAATCCACCTTTTACATATAGCTGAGGCTATAGGAATTCGAATCAACAATCCAAAGCTCCATATCCAGAAGAAATTTGTGCAGACTTTATCCTTTCCTTGGCCAGGGAGAACTTAATGAATGACCTTACTTATGAACCTTAAAATGTACTTCTCCTTTTTATTTTATTTCATTTTATCACCCCTTTCACACTACTACTATATTCACATACAACTCTTATTTATTTACCGCCTTCAACATCCAGTATCACACCAGCTTATTGTTCTTGTATAGAAGTGATGGGTAGTGGCTAGCAGTGGAATTCAGGATGCGCTTTTCATCCTGTTTTGGACTCGTCAGCTGTATGTATCCAGGCATCTACACAGGAGCCCATATGCCAACGGAGACTAATCAATTCGGTCCAGTCAACGACGGTGTAATACAAGCAATAACACTAACACTTACTGTCTTTTCTTGTTTTTCAATCTTTGACCTACATTGTCTGTTTATCCGTCTGAACATCTTTTAAACCATGTAAAGTAATGATGGGCAGTGGCTAGCAGTGGAATCCAGGATGCGTATTTCGTCCTATTTGGGACTCATCGGCCGGATGTACCGCCACCACAGTGAGTGATGTTGTTCCCACTGGGACTCGGACTAGGGAGCGATCGCTTCAAACGTGAGAGCGTTATCCACTACACTACCAAGCCAAGATAGCCACTTCTTGTGCGACGGGTATAGGTTTAGTGTTATTGCTTGTATTACAATTCGTATTCCTTGTTGTTGTTGTCCCACAAATTACCTTGATTGGTTGATATTTTATAAATATGTTGAAAGTGATGTATATTAGAGTGAAGCCTGATAAGATCTAATTGAAAACAATATTGTTCGCTTACATGTCTTGTTAAAATACAAACAAAAAAATGTGACCTCGTAGCTCAGTTGATAGAGCAGCGGGCCGATAGCCCGGAGGTCGCTTGTTCGAATCCGGCTGCGGTCCAGATTTTCATCTCACCTTCAATCATCACCCAGTACAAAATGTGATGTGATGATGAGGACGAAGGTTATGTTTTGATGTGGCCACACTAGAGAAATCGATTCTGAGTGATATCACATAGAGTCTGCAAAACACTGATTCCGTAAAAGAAAGTGTGATCAACTTCTTTTCAAGTTAAGTTGTAACATTTCCTTAAAGTCAGCAGTAAAACAGCATTCTAATGGTTGGCTGTCTAAGGTTAAACAGCTTAACGAGACCTTCAAATGCAATCGCTTAAAATGCTACTAGTACATAGTACGTGTGTAAACGATTCCATTTACTGCACGGTAACAAAATCCTGGCAGGTAAGAATCAGGAAAGAAGAATTTGAAAGACTATTTGAGTGGGAAAAAAGATAAAAGGATATCCTAGTCAACTACATACGTAAACTGTTCCACCAGCCAGATCGAGTTACCTTAGCATGTTAACCACAGTCCATCTTACCACTCCAGAAAACCAAACGGTTAAACGCATCTAATCTAGTTAGTTAGGTGAGGAAGGATAAACGACAGTCTTTCTTGTGTTAGTTATTTATACTACCCTAAAATTTCTTTTCTGACAACTGAATCTTCCAGTGGGCATCAATTCCGTAGAGGTTTCGGATGCGTCTTGCTGTAGAGTGCTAACAAGCACAAAGCCTGGATCCATGACTGACTAACTGACAAAATCAACGTAGAACCTAGCACATTAGTGGAACGGTTTATGTTTCCACTCTTTACAGAAGTATACAAAGAACAGGTAGATGGAAAAGGAGTGACATTAAGGTAGGTAAAATAGTGTGAGAACATAAACAATCTGAACATTAGGGTTTGTGTGAGTATTTAAGCCTTAGAAGATGTCAAGGAGTAAATGCATCTGCGCTGGCGTAACCGATTTCCAGCCATGTCACCAAGATTCAGTCCTCAACCACTGATTCCTTTCATCTCAGAGACCCCAGACACGCAGTCTAAATCTCCTCACATGGTTCAGCCTCATAGTCAGGGACTTTATAGACTGGTGTCACGTCTTGGTCTGATCACCCTGAACTGTTTTCTATTCCAATCCAATTACCTCCAGCACAGCACATCAAAGTAGGCGGTGGTTCATGGATTCCTTTCGACTACCTTCAACCAACTAATATTCTGATAATGTCTTGAACAATACTAAATTGCTTTGAGAACTACTTAATGTGGTATTTCCTGTTTATTTTTGACAAGATGAACTTCTCAGCTGACAAAGTAGCATGAGTTACATTGTAATTTGTTTTGTTTTTTCGCGGTATTTTCTTCTCTGAGCTTGGTAGTTCAATCGTTAAGCTTTGATTTGCATTCAAGTAAACACCATCAGCACAAACTCCACAAAGAAGTGAGCTATGGGCTTTTCTGCAAAAGCTACTAAGTCACTTATGGAGGAAAGCCCATAGCTCGCTTCTTCGTGAATTTTGTACTGATGATATTTTCCAGAATATAAATCATAGCTTCACGACTGAACCACTGACACCACTATTGCAAAAGGTTTGTAAGAAAAAAGGGAAAGGTGCCTACAAATTGATTGGAAGAAAGGCTAACTTGTCAAATTTCCACAGAAAAGCTACCTAAGTCTTTGAAAGAACTGACGCTTGATCATGCTGCTGTCCACATCAAGCAAAATGTTAAGTCGCATCATTCTGGAGAGACTAAAAAGTCCTCTGCACTCAAGATTACGACCGGAAAAGGGTGGGTAGCTTCATGAAGAACAAATCATGTGAGGCTCAAATTGCAACGCTACGCTACACATCACCATAGAACAATGGCAATCAACCCAACCTAAACTTCATCGACTTTGAAAAGTCCACCGACAAGTAATTTGACAAGCAGCTGCCTCAACACTACGGTTTAAGTTCCACAAACATTTATCAACCTCACTCAACAGCATCCAAATGAATTAAGATGCTACATGCCAAGTTATGCGCAATGGAGAGCTCAGTGATGCCTTCGAAGTGAAGAGAGGAAGAGGTAAGACAAGGTTGCCGACTACTATCACCGATCATCTTCCTGATTATGAACTAGTCGACTAAACTGGACTGGATCCTGCAAGAAAACGTGAGTAGCTGTGAGAAGATGGGTATACGCTGGTTAAACCGATAGAAAAACCCTAGGAGATTTGGATTTCGCCGATAATTATTTATGTTTACTGTCTTGTCGCACAAACTCGAAGATCTACAAGCAAAAACTAACAAGTTGGCAGAAGGGGCATAGCAGGGTAACGAGGACGGGACTTCCTTCAGGTGAACGTACATAAGACACAGGTAGAGGTGATGAGGATACTCAACCAAAAACAACATCAAGAACAACAACAAGCACCAATCGCCATCAACAGGAGAAATCTAATGAAGTTGTCTCTCTCACCTACCTACACACCTACCTACCTACATACCTACATACCTAGGCAGGCAGCATCGTCTCTACTACAGGTGGCACAGGCACACATGAAGATGTCAAACCCACAATATGAAAAACAACAAGATAGGTCTTCATTAACCTGGTCTACTGCACTGCACTGCACTCAGCATAAAGCCCGAACAACATCCAGATTTTCAACACTAATTCAGTCAAGTCAGTCAGTGCTTCTATGTGGTGGTTGAGAGAGTTGGTGCCTTATGAGAAGCATTTCGAACAAACATACATACACACATACACCACATGAATAGCTGCCACCTACATTCACTCGATACTGAAGATGGAGGGAGATCAGATGATCAGAATAATAAGAATGAGGAAGGAGTAACCCTGGTTGGCTGACAGGCTGGCTGGCAACGAACCAACCAACTCAGAACCTATCACGCAAAAAATATGTAGAAGAAGAAGAAGAAAAAGTGGAGATGGATTGGACTGGACATAGACTAAGAAGACCGTTTGGAGACATCACACGTCAGGTAAGGCCGTCTAGTGGAAGCCAAATGGATAAAGATGAGTTGGGCGACCGCGTCGAGGGTGACATGAAGGAGATAGTGTGAGGAAGAGATGAAAGCTTGTGAGTAGTGGTGGAGTCAGGTTGGAAAGACTATAAAGAAGAGGATGAAGTGGTGACGTGCTTCTGAAGCCGTATGTTCCACTAGGAACTCAACAGACAAATAATAATGATAACAATTGAACCACTCATTACAGGGAACATAACACCATTGAAATGATTCTCTTGATGTATAAATATTCACCATCATCTGTAAATTTGTTTTTTTTTTTCAAATATCTTTTTCATTATTTTTATTAAAGCTACGTTTTTCGGTGTTATCATGGCAAAATATGATTTGGATTTATCATCTGTACGAGAAATTATCAATCAGTTGAATAACTCTGAAGTTGATTCTAAACTTGAACCTTTTGAATCGACGACGCCTTATCATATCAGTGGAGTACATTTGTCTAACTCTTGGGTTTTCATTGATTGTAAGTTTTAGATTATAGATTTAAAACAAAAAAGAAATAGCTATATTTCATTTGTATTTTCCTTTTCAGTGAATAGGTGTAATGTTATCTTTGAAAAAAAGCCTACTGATTCAGCTGCCTAATTCCAAGTGTAAATCAAACCCTATTGATCAGTTTCAAACTGTAGTAATGCAACTTCCTTCATGTTTTGTTGATTCATCCTTATTGATAGGTGTTGAAAAGTTCGAGAACCAGTTAAATAATAATCTTGTACCGAATGATATCAGACATTTATTGTCAAACATTTGGTTTCCTCCATTCGACATCTTAGCTCCGGATAAGTTTTACACTAATCGCACTAGCATTCTGATTGCAATAGGATTTCAATTAGGTGGTTTCAGACTCACCGGCTCAATTATGAATCATTTCACAGTTTTATATGGATAGTTGGGAAAATATGACTTTACAAACATTTAGTCTCACACCAAACATATGGTGACGATATATGGATGACACATTTACTGTGTTAAAATCGGAACATATTGACAATTTTCTCATGCATATAAACTCAGTAGTAAACGCAATCCAATTCACTTAGGAGGTAGAAGATGAACAAAGAGAATTACCTATGTTGGATTGCAGAATAAAACAAAGAACAGATGGTGACTTGGATACTACTATCTACAGAAAACCAACATATTCCAACAGATATCTAGACTTCAAATCACCCCATCCAATGTCAGTTAAGGCAGGATTATTCAAATGTCTAAATGATAGAGCTAGAAAACTGACTAGTCAGAGCAAGAACCTAAACAAGGAATTGAAACACGTAAAAGAAACGCTAATAGTCAATAATTATCCTCCTCAGCTTATTAAGAAATTCTTACAGACACACAAAAAACGAAAAAATAACAGTCAGACGAGTGCGACTAATAACGACAACAGGAGTAGAAAGGAGTTCACAGCCTCCATTGTATTACCCTATAAGGAGGGTACCTTAGAAACTTTAAGTAGAATCTTCAACACAGCTGGAATTAGGGTGGTATTTAAACCTACAAACTCACTCAGAGATAAACTTTGTCGACTGGCTTGAGGATCCGATAGAACCAATTAAGCAAAATAATCTAATCTATCAAATTCCATGAGATGACTGTCAGTCAGGTCAAGTATATAGGTCAAACTAGTCTGTCGGGGTCAGTTAGATTGGTGCAACATAGGAACTTAGCCAAATATAAAATAACAGACCTAAATAAAATCAACAATCTAGAAAATGCCCGGCTATTGCTATGCCTGCTTTGACACACAACCACACAATAGGGTGGGATAAAGCCACTGTCCAATATAATTCGGTGGAGATTGAGAGAGATTGATTACTTAACCTTTTTTCATCTAATCAACCCTCACACATGTAATAGAAATGAAGCAACACCTATACCAGAGATATGGAAACTTTTGCTACCAATCAAAACAACTCATATAAGGTGGCATAACTATAAAAATCAAATGTCGAAAGTAGTGTGATTACATTGATATGATTATGAGCATTAATAATTTATGCTCGAAACGTCATCTAGTAAATGGTACTAGATCACTGTGTGTTATAAGTCAAATAAACAAATCTAATATGGAATTAACATTCTACCACAGTGCCCAAGTTTTACACCTATATTAATTTCACAGTTTTACTCTACCGGACAACTGTTGCAGTAAACCTCTATTTCAATCAGGGGTATAAGACTTATTCTTCTTTAACACCTTAGCCTCTCAGTCATCCTTAAATTCAAGGGTCAGTCAGACAAGGTGAGGTTATCTTAGGCGGTCTAGTTGACAATATTCATTACCTATAACAATCCTAAATATCTACTCAGTAGTAGATATATTGATTTTATCCATTCCCCTATTAGAAAAAGAAATAATTTTATTACAAATTACAACAGAAACAGCAAAAATTTCATGGAGCAATAAATTAAGGAAACATAAAGAAACTAAAAGCTGCACCATCAAAACGGTACCCATCTCAGAAGGAGCATCTATCATAACTTGATGGCTTGGTGAGTAAGGCTGTGACACTTCAATCGATTCGATCTAAATTTGAATCTTAGGGGGAAACAATATCACCTAATGAAGTTTAGATATATCCAACTGATGACTTCCAAACAGGGGGGGAGGGCGTACATCTTTTAATCTACTGCTAACACTACTATCAGTCATTATTGTCGGCCTTCTTCTCTGTTCACTTCTTTATGAATTGCCCTCTAATTCATACAATTAGCTTCCTTTATAGACGACAAGAATAATAAACGTTGTGGACATGAATCGAATTTATCTCATGTGCTCTATATCTTCCACATGCACACTAAATATAAAATTCAAGACAGTAACCTGTCACTCTCCAGTATTAGTCATTTGACACATTTCTTCAATGGAAAAATCAACACTAAATGGATCTTTCACATTTAGACATCACTACTAATTATATGGGAATAGAAAGGAATGGAAAAGTTAACGACCTAATCAACCAATACAGAGAACATGTGAAGTAATCCACGAGACTATAAAAGTGATCACGAATCGAAAAAAGTAGGAAAATGCTAATCACGGAACTTCTAACTATCGGCTGAATAGTCAACGCATTCGCCCTGAAAGTTGAAGATCGTAAGTTGCATCCGTCGTAGTGCTTTCAACTTTTATTGAATAGTTATCTAACCTCATACTACATTACTGTATAGTACTCATTAGTGACATGCTTTGAGAAGGATATCCCGAAGTTCTAATGAGAAGCTATGACCAGTGAGATCAACCAGTTGAAAGCAAAATGGATGTCAAATGTAGATTTTAGTACACTGTCACGCTATAGCATGAAATGACAGAAGTAATATACTGTGGATCGTAGACAGTCAATGCCTTCACTGTGGAACCTGAAGGTGTTGAGTTTGATTCTTAGTGAGCTCGTGGGTGAATACTGTTGAGCAGTCCCATTTAAAGACGAAACAGCTACCCGATGCTGCCGGCTTTCCAACGGTTCTCTAAATGAAATTTTGACCATTTGAAATATCCATAGTTTGGCAGACTAGTATTTATACTGGGTGATGCTTGAAGGTGAGATGAAAATTTTGACCACGGCTGCATTCGAACCAGCCACCACCAAATCACCGGCACGGTCCTCTATCAACTGAACTACAACGTCCAACTGCTTCCCAACCAGATTATTACTTCACTTCAATCACCAATTCTTCATCTCACCTTCAATCATCACCTACTTTCATTAATACTAGTCTAACAAACTATGGCCATCTCACATAGTCAAACTGATAATCAATATCATGCTACCCCTCTCATTCTAATTCACTTAGATTTCGATTGAGATGAGAAGTCCTGAGTAGGTAGTAGTCAGTGTGAATACGACCAAGTGGTAGTAATGCGTCATGAAACACATGGAAGTGGGGCAAAATCCTTGATGCTTGAAGGGAAGTAGAGATGTGTTCAGTAAGCAGTTGGACGTGATATCTCATTTGGTATAGCACGGGGTTGGTGATCCGATGTTCACTGGTTCATATCTGACCATGGTCCAAATTTTCATCTCACTTTCAATTTTCACCCAGTATAAAAATGTATTTATTATAACCTCTGATTATCGATTCACCTTTAGGTGTTGAATGAGAGTTTCTTTGACTTATCTGTTTGTCTGTGTGTGTGTGTGTCTTTTACATTTTTTGCTATTTATCTTCATTTTACACCAACATATGTGAATAGAGAATGTTGACTATAATAATTCCTGATGAATATCGTTTGTTCTGCTTTCTAACTTTTACCTCAGGCTTTCAACGGAATTAATGAACTCAATGTATCATTATTATTATTATTATTATTCTGCTTAAAAATCAATATTTCATTGAATACTCTCTATTCTCTTTTTGTTAATGCCATCTAGTAAGGCGACTAATTTATTAAATACACGCTGATTGGTAAATGACTGTAGTAATACGAATCGTTAAAAAGTTTATTTTTATTTCAATCTTAGGGTTTATGAAATTCATTATGGATTGATATCATTTGGAGGAATATTCGAAATCTGGGAGTACTAGACAGCTGTTTCGTCGTAGTATGTAACTCCTTACCAGTGCGCACCCACAATCCCCCCTCACAGGTAGGGGTCGAACCCGCGACCTTCAGGTTCCGTGGCCAGCATGTTACCACTGGGTCAGGATCTAATGATCTATATTTCCTACTTCTCTCAGTTCACGATACAAAGTGACCCCCATCGAATATCATCGTTGAGTAACTGTCCTCATGCATATTCCACTTGGTTATCTTAGAAAGACACACCTAATTTGGTTTTTAAAACAATAAAAGTAGTGAAATTTTGTTTTTGTTTTATACATGATTGAAGATACGGTTTATCACCAGTCTTGGCGGCACTCATACACTAACATGCACTTGATTAATATAGCCTAGAAGTATGATTCTTCATTTCAGGCAGTCTGTTTGTCAGCCACAAAGACTAGTGAGTATGAAGCCCCTTGCTTTACATGCCATGGTTAGACAACTAAACGGTTTCATTGTTCCGGTTATGAATTTTGAAAGTTGATCAAACTATTTATTGCACATGCTACATATTTCAAAGGGTTGATGGACGACTAAAAACCAGACAATAATCTAATTATCAGTTTGACAATGGAAGATAGTTGTGGTTAATCAGACTTGTATTAATGATGCTGGATGATGGTTGAAGGTGAAATGGAAATCTGTACCACAGGAGTATTTGAACCAGCTACCTGTGGATTAGCTGCCTAGTGCTCTAACAACTAAGCTATGAGACCTTGACACTAGGGGAGATCTTACTTTAACTTCATTCACCGAATTAACCATATTTTCATGTGTGTCTGACGATGCAGCTGAGAATCAGTCTTCGTAGCTCGAACGTATCCGTAAATGGTTTTCATTGTGATCATTATATCACATTTGGTTAGTTCGTTTACTCCTTGTTCTTCACTTTCAAGGAGACTTTCTGCGAACTTTTATTATATCTCCACTCTGACTGGTTCCTTGTCTTTCATATTGCTAACTTTCTTCTTAATATGGTGAGGTGAGCGAAAATTTTCCGTTAATCATTGATACCTGGTTTCGAACTGATGTTGACTGGCTGACTGATTGACAGACAGACTGACTGACTAAATGACTGATAAGTAGTATCACCGTAAATGGTGTGTTCAAATGTCATTTTGAAGTGTATAAGAAAGTGTTGACTGTCTGTTTGAAATTCTCCATGTTGTTAGAACGTAATTCTCAAAGGCTCTCAGTGACATGGTTCACAATGAAACGAATGTACGCACTCCTACTCATTTTGAACATTTTAATAACTTTCATCAGTTAATTCATTTTGTTTTCGCATATGTCTTTATTATCAGAGAATTGAGTATTGAGTAATTGAGGTTTCAAATCGTCAACAGAACACAACTTTTCTCATAGTTACTTACACCCAAGCACACACACACACTTTATTGATGATTCTCACCAACTTCAAAAGTAAGGTTGATCAGGGCTCCCTATCGATTGACTTTCAGTATCTATTAATACTGAGTAATGATTGAAAGTAAAATAAAGATGTCGAACATGGCAAGATTCGAACCAGAGACCATGGGATTACCGTCCCGATGATCTAGCAGCTGAGCTAAGAGACCAGACTGCTGACCAAATTTTGATTTCATTTCAATCATGTTGGGTGCTGCCTGACTACTATGTGAATTCACGTTGTGTCATTATCACTTGATAGCATTCACACTGGCTGCTCAGTTAGGACTTTTTATCCAAATCCAAATATAAATAACTTTCAGTTTGACTATATGAAACAGGCGTGGTAACCGATGAGTCGATGGTTTTAATCTTACCATGATGCAGCTTTTTGTTTCACCTTCAATCATCAACCAGCAGTTTTGATGCAGAGTAGCGATTGGACAGGTTACTACTTGGCTGTTATAGCTTCATTGTTCAACTGTTTGGGTGTATTTTGATAGTAAACAGGAGAATACATATTTTATCAGCTGACCACTGTGTTATATCCAAGTCTGTAATCTCATCAGGCTTCGAAATTACATACTTGGATCACACGTGTCTCTTTGAACATTCACATCGCAAGTAAAATCCAACTTCTTATGCATATATTTGTGTTATATCATATTATTTAAACTGAGTGATTTTTGAAGGTGAGATGAAAATTTTGACCACGGCTGCATTCGAACCAGCCACCACCAAATCACCGGCACGGTCCTCTATCAACTGAACTACAACGTCCAACTGCTTCCCAACCAGATTATTACTTCACTTCAATCACCAATTCTTCATCTCACCTTCAATCATCACCTACTTTCATTAATACTAGTCTAACAAACTATGGCCATCTCACATAGTCAAACTGATAATCAATATCATGCTACCCCTCTCATTCTAATTCACTTAGATTTCGATTGAGATGAGAAGTCCTGAGTAGGTAGTAGTCAGTGTGAATACGACCAAGTGGTAGTAATGCGTCATGAAACACATGGAAGTGGGGCAAAATCCTTGATGCTTGAAGGGAAGTAGAGATGTGTTCAGTAAGCAGTTGGACGTGATATCTCATTTGGTATAGCACGGGGTTGGTGATCCGATGTTCACTGGTTCATATCTGACCATGGTCCAAATTTCCACTTCATCTTGAATCGCCACGTAGTATCAATGACACTAGTCTGCTAAACTACGACTATCTCATTTAGTCACACTGATAATCACATTATTTTTTGCAGCGAGAATGAACAACCATCGGGGAGTAGGATAAAATGAATCTATCTTATTTCGGTGGTATCTTCTCAACTTCCTACACCAACATCAGATATCAAAGTGTATAGTTTTAACGACAGAAAAATTCACAGATTAAAGGTTTATCATAACAGCGTATT